CCCACTCCTGATCCCTGAGCATGGAGAGTAGAGAAAAGGTGGGAACAGTGCAGGGTGACCTGATGACTCAGGAAGAGAGCACCCCGCCCCTCTTCAAACTGAGTTTTAAGGAGATGCTCTGGGGAGGGGCATTTGTCGGGAACAAATGCTGAAGTTTTGTGTGCTGTTGCAGACTTCTGGAGTTTGCAGGACTGCTTGCTTCTTCCTTGCTTCAAGGACTCAGTGCCTTTTTCCTTCTTTCATGGACTCATTATTTCTTCCTCACTTCATGGACTCATCGTTTGTTCTTTGCTTCATGGATTCATTTCTCTGTTCCTTTGCTTTGCTAGACTGAGCGCAGCCAGAGGCTGCCGTGTGTGTGTGTCTGTGTGTATGTGCTTTGCTCTGGGACTTGCCAAGAATGTGGGAGCATTTGTGGGAAATTTGGAGCATTAAAGGGGAGTTTGAACTCTGAGCTGGCTGTGTGGCCTTTGTGCCTTGTCCCAGGTCATCACACTGTGTCCATTATTTTGTGTACAAGGAAGTTTTCTGGGACAGCCATCTTGTGCAAGTGCTTATAACATGCTATGAAAACCCCATCAGTCCATCTCAATATGACCTGCTTTTAATTATGCTTATATGGCTCTGCAGTCAAAAATAATTATAAAGTCTCTTCTGCATGATGATAATGACCTCTAGCTTCTAGTCTAGTATCCAGTATATAATTCTCTGCCTCTTTTTAGCATTCAGTATTGCAAGTGACAGAAGCAGAGATATGAAATTAGGTGCACCGTGACACTGTTGATTAAAGTGAATGGCATCCCAGTTAATGTAAATGTCTTACCATTGTAAAATAAAATGTGTATGACACATGGGGAAAAAATAAAATACAGATGTACATATCCCCAAAGCACATTTGATTTCAAGTGAAGGAGACATCCTATGAAGCAGACATTCACAAGCACGAAGATGATAATGTTTTCAAAACAGTCTGCTTGGAGAGAGATAAAAACTCAGAAGTTGATAGAAGTTCCAGTTGGCTGAAAGAGCAAACATTAAGATTTATTATTGATTTATACTTATTGTTTCATCATTTTTCTCTTTTTTTTTTGCAATATAAAAATGTGTGGGGCAAGTTTGAAACATGCAAGTGTGTTACAAGAAAATATGGCTTGAACTGCCAGGGCAACTATAGGCAGAGGTGCTGGATTTTGGAAGTAAGAGGATGGACTGGAAATACTTTAGAGATAAACAGAAGAAATTTAGGACAGGAGAAATTGGAAGCAAAGAGAAGGAAGGGAAGCCAAAGGATTATGTCTGCATAGATCCAGGGCAACATTCAAATGTCATGCTATTTAAAGCTTAGCTCTTGTGTAGAAAGTTTTGTCTGTGAATTAAGCCATGAAGCTTTGGATCGCTATTGATGTTCTTGTAAGATTAATTGTACTATAAACATTGACATGAAAAAGAAGAACACAGGTCATTAGAAATCAAGACATGGCAATGATGCAAGTTTTTAATTAATGCTATCTCACAGCAAGTGATTTCCCAGGGGAGTTAAGACGATGTGTAGTGAATGGTAAGTCCTACTATGCAGGCACCCATCCTTAAACAAACACAACAATGTGGATGTCTGAATTATTGCATAAAAGCTGTCTGGAAGACCAAGCAGTGCAATTAAATCTTGCCTGTATGAACCTTTACTACAGGTCAAACAAATCTAATTTTTATTGTTCCTTAAGGAGATGGTGTCTATGTGGACAACAAAGAAGGGATATAGCGAAGAACTTTAATGAAAAAAAATGTTCACAAAAATGCCACAGCAACTAAGATAAATTGTATTGTAGAAGGAGTTCACAAGTAATTGATGACTTATGTGGTAATGCTTTGGTAGCCAGGCTGATCTGTGCTAGATCTCAACTGAACTGGAGGAACCTTTCAAGGAGAAAAACAAGGTTAACTTTTAATCTGAATAAAGGGGGAGATTTCAAGAGATATATGGCAAACTTGTCACTGCCTATTAAATGACTATGTTCTGCAGAGCAAATATAAAAACAATAATATAATCAAAGGACAGAAAGCATTTTTATAGGATTGGCATAGATCAGAGGAGAACAGCATAGCTAGCTAGGCACGTACACATCCACAGTATGGAAGTGCTTTTCAAAGCTCCTAGAATTACACATCACAATCCTGATTTTAATGGTATTTTGTGCTGCAATAGTTAATAAGAAATATCATATTTATGAACTCTCTCCATTCCTCAACATGTCAGGTCTCTGGCCTTCAAAAGCTACAGCTGCTAGTGAAGCAATATGATTAAGTGAACCTTTTAGGACAGATTTATGGAAAGAATTTTTCCTCCAGTAAGTGTCACATGGGGTCTAACTCAGTAAGGGAGAATATTTCAAAGATGCCACCTCTTATTTAGACTCACTAAATTAGATGAGATTAGTGGTCAAATAGGCAGCATGCCAAATTGGAGCAATATTGATTTATCCTACATTTATTGTCGGCATTCTGTTTTTTACTTTTAAAGCAGGAAAACAAGGAACTTTCATTCACTGTGCAATATTTTACTAGCAGAGAGGCGATGTAACTGTGCTAATCTTTTTAGGAAGACCATTTAGAAAAGTTAAAACACAGATTGGAAAGCATATAAGCTGGCAGACCCTGTATGCTATTCAACATGGAATACATATTGATTCTATAAATCTCTAAGTTCAGAGCCCACACTTGTTTCGCAAGTTCAGATGGACTGTATAGTGTATTTGTGCAACTCCTCACAATTGGTGATTCAAATAACAAACACATTTGTCTGTTTTTTTTCTTTAACAATAAAACTGCTCTATTGCAATGAGCCATTTACCTATTACCAGTTACATACACAAAGGTGCTAAAATGTCTTTGTGCTAAAAAGAATTCAGTACAGGTAGGCCTCAACTTATGACCACAATGAGGCCAATGTTAACATTAGTAACATGGCTTCCAAATGAATCTGGCTTTCCCATGGACTTTGCTTGTCAGGTTACAAAAAATGATCATGTGACCACTGGGACACTGCATCCATCATAAATACATGCCGGTTGTCAATTTTTTTTATCATTTGATCATAGGAATGTTACAATGGTCCTAAGTGTGAAAAAATGGTCATAAATCTTTTTTTCAGTGCCATGGTAACTTCAAATGGTCACTAAACAAATTATTGTAAGTTGACTCCCTGTAATATTTGAGCACTGAGATATTTTTCAAACTACTTTTCAATTAATTATGCTTCAAGTCCACTTAAAAACTTAGGAAAATGAAAAGTAGATATTTCAACCAGAAGTGAGGCCACTTTACCTCAAGACTATGTGTCAACCAATTACCCATTTTTTGTCGTCTTCAAAGCGTCCTCCAGCCACTTTGAAAATCAGCATTTTGAGACAGAAACAGCCCCCACCCCCCAAAAGCATAGCCCTAAGTTGGACAATGCCTTTATAGTGTTGAAAGAATTATCCTTCTGGGTTCAGTTCCAAGTGGGGAAAAAGACACTGGAAACATGGAGGCTGTTTGGAAAGATGGTTTAATGGTGGACAGGACCACATGGCCTGGAGAAGGATGAGCACATTCTTCAAGGTGGAGGAAAAGAGAAGGAAGGGCTGAGATGCTGAGAGTGCCTGGTTTTATACCTTCTGTTGAGATTTGAATTTGAGCTTGTATTCTGATTGGTTGTCAGACTCTCATGACAACCATGCAGGGGAAATTCTATAGGCTGTCCTGAGTTCCAGGCTTGGTTGAGCCTTGTTGGATGATGATGTAATGAAAAAGGCTTTGGGCAATTGCTATAGCTTTGCCTGGAGATCTTTGTTATGTAAAATATTCTGGCCCAGGTCTTAAAGGCCCACCCATTAACAAGGGTGGGGGTGAGCTTCTGAGGTGGTTTCTACTTCTGAGTTTCTATTATTTTTAGTGGAAATATCCTGCCTTTTTAATATTTCCTAGGATATTTCATTTTTCTAGGAGGGGGGTGGGTACTAACTTCCTACAATAGGAAGCAAGCAAAATAACACAAAAGGGTGTTCAGGCCTGATGGTTTTCAGAATTCTCCATTGGGCAAATTCTTAACATGAAATGCATTGCCGTGATATATGAAACCAGTGAATTATAAGTATCCTAACTTAGTGGCTGGTTCTGAGTTACTACTGTTAGCCATGATTGTATGGCTAAATATGTGTGAACCTGGCCATGGCTTTTTTTAAAAAATGAACCACAATTGGCCGGGGGGGTCACAGATACCATAGCTTATAAATAATTTTAGGGTGTGTCAAATTTGTCAACTTTCAATTTCCAAACATTAAGGTTGCTCAAACTTGTGACACGCCTTGCGGGTTGTAAATACATTTTGGTTATTTAATATAATTTAGCAAAGCTGGCTGGGGAATTCTGGGAGTTGAAGTTCTCCAGGCTTAAAGTTGCCATGGTTGGAGACCCCTGTTCTAGGCTAGCATCTCCAACACAGGAGGTTTATAAGAAGAGATTGGACAGCTATTTGTCCGGAATGATATAGGGCAGGGGTCTCCAACTTTGACCACTGTAAGACTTGTGGACTTCAACTTCCAAAATTCTGGGAATTGAAGTCCACAAGTCTTAAACTGGCTAAGGTTGGAGACCCCTAATATAAGGTCTCCTGCTTGGGCAAGGGGTTGGACTAGAAAACCTCCAAGTTCCCCCTTCTAACTCTGTTATCCTATTTTGCAATTTGGAAACAGTTAAGAAACTATCGTGGGTAGAAACTGAGGTGGGGGGGAATGGTGGCGGCCAGGAAAAAAAAAAAGCATTTTCGAGAAAGGGGTGCTTTATTCTCCGCCTCCCCCCATCGCATTTGAGCGCGAGGGGAGGGGGAGACTTGGCGGGGGAGGGGGGAACTCTCGGTCACGAGACCAATCAGAAAAAAAGCATTGACAAATGCCCTCCTGCCAAGGGAAGAAGAGGCATACGGCTTCCCCTCCGCCCGCCCGCCCGCCCACGGCGGCTCCCGTCTGGGAAGGCCGGAAATTGCCCTGTCAGGAGCCCCGGTGGATCGCTCAAACGCTTGGTGCCCGTTGCTTTTGACCACGGCTTGCTTGCTTGCTAAGATCGTGTTTCACTTTCGGGCAAGTAAGTGGCTTTCGCTTTCCAACGCAAATAATAATAAGGTTGTGTGGCAGAGCGTCCTGTTTGCAGGAAACCCTCCTCTTGCGGTGCTTTGTCTGGCCTTTCCTTAAGAGGACAAAAACACGCCAGGTTCCCCCCCCCCCCTTCCCAACTCTCTCCCCTTTCCTCTCCGCTCTTGGGCCGGGGAAGGGCTGCTCCTGGGATCCTCCTTCCTTCCCCCGCGTGCATGCCTGCGGGGAAAAAATGTATGGTAGAGCAGAGCCGTTGCATGCCAGAAATAATCTTTTCTTTTTAATTGGACACCTAATAATGACCCAGCCTGGGAAAACAGGTGAGAAAATACAGTAACGGGTAAAGCGAACCGTCTCAGGGTTAATTAAGGAGAGAGCGAAGCCGCTCGCAGCTTCCTGGAAAAAAAACAAATAAACATAACCAGAGCGATGGCAGAAATGAAAGTCTTTGTCAGGGGCATTTTCTTTGCTTCATTTGTTAGATTGCTTTCTTGGCTTTCCTGCAGGAGCTCAAAGTAGTTCCAGTGTTGCCTCCAAAACACACAGTTCTCTAACCCCTAAGTTGCACTGAGAGGGACAGCCCAAAACCACACAATGGCTCTCCAGGGCTAAGAATCAAGTTTATTTGGGTTTTCCCCCAGTCTGGTTCACCCTTTCAGCACTAGACTACACCTGCTCCTCAGAGAGGGAGGGAGGGAGGGAGGGAAGGAAAGAAGGAAGGAAGTAAGTAAGTTAGTTTATAAATTTGCATGACAACTCAGAACCAAAATCTAATTTCACTGGTTTTGTTCACAAAACACAGTTGGTGAAACCCAGTTGGCTCTTTTCTGGTCCAATGGCTTCAGCATTTTCTCCTGGATTTTGCTACTTGCTTCAAAAAGTTAAAGATAAGGTTATCAGCTACAGAACTATTTCTAATTCAATAGAGAAAGGGGGTTAAAAGTAGTCAGAAACTTGGGAGGAAGGGACAGCATTGTCTTCAGAATCAAGATATTGCAGAAAGAAAAATTAGAACATAGTCACACTTGATTTTAGGAGAGACAACTTCAGCAAGCTTAGAGGAATATTGGGGTATTGCAGAAGAGTAGAAGATTTCTCAAAAACAAGATATTTTAAACTGTTCTCCATTTCTTTTGACTGCAGAATTGTATATTCCAGTCACAAGAAAAAAAAACTGGGCAGCTTAAGAAACCCTTGTAGATCAAATGAATGTTCAACTGAGGTAGAGTTTTAAGAAAGGAAACATCTATAAGAAACAAAATGAGCATTATCTTCAGGGAAGCACATAAGCAAGTAGCTGGTATTCTCAGAAAGAAAGTTAAACTGATGTGGAAAAGGAGCTTAGTTTCAACTTGTGAAGAACAGCAACTGAGGTTTGGGGTAACATCAGCTGAAAAGTAGAAGCAAGAAGTTCCTGCTGATTGAAGAGGGGACAGTAGCAAGTAGTAAGAGGACAAATCTCAACTTCTAGTTTGTTTCTGTAGCTGAAAAGTAGGGTTGATTTGCATTGACTGAATTCCAGAAGAAACTAGAGAGTCCAGGAATAAAGAAGTGGTTGTAAGAAGGGTGTTTCTTCTCTTTTCCATCCCCCCAAATGTATTTCAGCTCTTCTAGTTTACCATCTATGTTCATACAATTTCGAGGAGCAAATCCTCTAAATATATCTGGTATGCCCTAATAAACTTGCTCCTCTTGCAATTCAGTTGATAAATCTTTAAATTGAATAATCAAAGCTAACTCAGCCTTTACCTTTCAGATAGAGTTAAAACTGCTATATGTGACTGCCTAGCACATTTACCTTGACTACAATTTGCTGATTTCTTGATTAGCTTTAGCTTTCTGGCATGATTTTAAAAGCATCTTTGAGTATGTGCATAAAATTGGCATAGCTGTCCATCATGGGATTATTATTGTCTACCAGAGTAATTGTCCATTTGACAGCTTATAAATCAAGAGTCCAAGGATAAATCTCATACATGTGGAATGTGTGGAAATTTCAGCTTCGGTTAAATGTTTAGCCTACACTAAAGGATAAAAATAACAAATTTATTTGGGGATCCTCCATATTTGTCTGGTAATAAGGTCGGTAACAAGAAACATGGTTGGATGGGCAAGAATCACCATAGCTAGTTTCAAACTTGACCCAGTTGCTGACATAAAAAAATTATTGAGCTGTATACTAGTAATTCAGAGCTGCAGTACCGTGTTGAACTGGAGCATTGATGACTTGTTCAGCAGTCAGTGGTGTTCCCAGATAGCTTTAGTCAAGCCACTGCCATGGCTTTAATCAAAAACCTGATAAAACATGGCCTTTCTTATAAGTATTGTTGATATGAGCGTTAGGCTTTTGGCAGTAAGTTTACCAAAAGCATTATTTTCTTTAACAGGATTTGTTGCAAGGGAAAGAATTTTTATTATAGAAAATGTCTACAACTAGATTTCTTTCTTTTTAGGAAGTCAGTTCATCATATCCGTTCATTAAGATATAAGTTCCTTTCTAATGTCCCAACTGAGGAATTTGCAGGTAGCTGCAAATGTTTTTCCGCCAGGCTGCCCACTCCCTGAATAATACTCAGCTGTGAATACACCATTACAAAAACTATGATTCAGTTGATTAGGCAATTGATTTGTGACTACAGGTAGTCGTTCATTTACAATCACAATTGAGCCCAAAATTTATGTTGTTAACTGAGAAATTTGTTAAGTGAGTTTTGCCTTTTACAACTTTTCTTGCCTCATTTGTTAAGTGAATCACTGCAGCCGTTAAATTAATAACATGGTTGTTAAGTGAATCTGGTTTCCCAATTGACTTAGCTTGTCAGAAGGTCACAAAAGGCGATCCCATGATCCTGGGACACTGCAACCATCATAAATGTGAGCCAGTTGTCAAGCATCCAAATATAAATCATGTGACCTTGGAGATGCTACAATGGTCATAAGTGTGAAAAATGGTCATAAGTCACTTTTTTCATTGAAGTTATAACTTTGAATGGTCATTAAATGAACTGTTGTAAGTCTAGGACTACCTGTATTTAGAAAGGAATATGCATGGCAGGAGCCATCATTGCTTTGCCAAAAGCAGGTAATTGTCAAACTGAACTTAGTTTCTTTTTCTGAAAAAGCAGACCGTTTAATCGGCTGCAGGAGTGTAATGAACATAGTGTAAATTTCAACAAAATATATGACTGTTTCCTATAGAGAAGATAACAAAATGTGGGCTGGACTGTGTTCCCATTAATTGGATACCGTGGTGTTTGAACACTTGTACTGACAAGTGTACATCAAGCTGGAAGGAGGCTGATGAGCAGCATACTGCAAGACTCCATTCTGTTCGGATGAATGGTTAGAAAATATTATGAGACTTATAAATATGGGAGATCGATAAAGGAACAGCAAATACTTTAGAGACATATTCAAGATTCAAGAGGATTTTGACATGCTAGTCAGTGGACAGAAGACAGCAACATAAATTTCAACAGGGGTAAATGCGAAGTCTTTTATTTTGCATAAAAAGAATCAATAACATGAATTCAATATGTTAGTAATTTAAAATCTGAATAGACATGTAAAATACTTGTTGTCTATCGCTACAGGTAGTCTTCAACTTACAACAATTCATTTAATGACCAGTATTACAGTGGCAGTGAAAAAAGTGTCTTATGACCACTTTTTGTACTTACAACCTTTACAACATCCCCATGATATTGTGATCAAAATGCAGAAGCTTGGTAACTGGTTCATAATTATGACAATTGCTGTGTCCCAAGGTCATGTGATCACTTTTTGCAAAGTTCTGACGAGCAAAATAAATGGAGCAGCCAGATTCACTTAACAACTATGTTGCTAAGTTAACAATCTTAGTGATTCACTTAGCAACTGTGGCAAGGAAGGTGGTAAAACTCACTTAACAAATGTCTCAACAACAGAAATTTTGGGCTCAGTTGTGGTTGTAAATCAAGCACTACCCGTACTTCATTTATATTTGTGTCCTAGGCTGTAAGAAGACATTTAGATCTTTGGGACTTCATACTTAAGAAAGCTCGAGGAAGTAGGGCCATATAACAGAATTTTTGCAGTTGGAAATTTTTGTAACCATGTGGCATGCCATTTATGTAGTGTAGGAACCCTGATATTCGTAGGGCAAGATATCTCCTATAATTTTGATAAAGTTTAACAGAAATAATAAGAAAAGAGGATTAATACTTATGTTATCATGAAATAAGTGTACATAAATTTCTGCAGATGTGTGGTCTCAGTGGAGCTTTTTATTTTAATATTTTTGGTTCTGCTTCTGAAATAGGGGGAAACATTATTGAGAAGGTTACTTATTGAAAAGATAGGTTTTTGAGTATATGATATATTTTGGGAAATTTGTCTATAGCAGCAGTTCCCAACCTTTCTGGAACTAGGGACAAGTTTCAGAAGAAAAATTGTCTTTGATGGACCAGGGGATGGTTTCATGCACAATCTAAATCCTGTGCATGAACAGAGAAGTTTCACTCACTTGCCCATTGCTTATTCGGCCCAATTCCTAACAAGCCACGGAGCAGTACCACAAAATATGTAGTTATTAAATAACAGGTTTTCAAGAGGAGTTGATCATTGGTGGTACTTAATGAAGTTATGGAGTTGAAGGTCAACAAATACATTTGGCATCATATTAGAAATGACTGCTTTTTTACAGCACATCTTCATTCTGCCTTATTTTTGTCCAGGTAAAATATTAAGAAAGTATATCCTAATAATTGTCCTTGAAGAATGTGAAAGACCCTTTATCACTGATTGATCTCATGGTCAATTCAACAATCAAACTTTTTAAAAACTTATTTCTTTTGTTCCCTGACTGGTTTGGTCAGCCCTGTTTTGTTTCTATTTACTTTAAGCAAGTAAATGCTCTGGATTTAAAAAAAAAACAAACGAAACAGACTTCCAAAGAGTATTTATTTTCTGCTTCTGTCATCATAGTTCGGTGCCAGAAAACTGGAAAATTTATTCAAGGAGAAAGCAGGAAGTATATGCTTTGCTGTATATACAGGTTGAGTAATATCTCTGCAGATTACTGGTTCTGGACTGCATGAATATTTATTATGCACTATGACTCTTCGATCGCTAAGAGTAGTTTGTAAAGCTTTCCACTTCTAGGATTTGTGAAGAAAGCTTTAAAATTATTTTAACAGTAACGAGGAGAATTTAAAAATGCAATATTGGGCTGAGAAATTCTACTGCTGCAGAGGTTTGACTTAATTTTGAGCTTTTTAAAAATAATTTCTGGAAGAATTAACCAAAATTCTGTATGGATTATTTTCCTTTATAGTCACAAGCTTTTATTAGCAAAAATAGCAAAAGCACAAAGTGCCACATTTCACTGTTATTGGATTGCTTGTTATACCAGCAATGTTTTGATTGTAACTAATAATTAGTAGTGAAAAGGTGGTAAATATTTACTGTTTACATTTCTCCATAATATAACTATTTTGCGGCATAGTCCAAATAACAGTTATTTGTGAAACTGATAATGTTGTGATTGGTGAACAAACAGGCTCAAGTAGGTTTCTAGCGGTGCAATAATTTGAGGGATGTTTAAAATGTGTTATGATCACATTTACAAACATGTCAATGTACTAGAATTATCTTTAGTATTGAAGAATGGTCACATTTCTGGCTGAGGGAATACTGTGGCCAAGGTTCACATGTCCCAGGGCAATGTATGACTTTAAATGTGAGTGTGCCCCTTATTTCTTTTCCAAATGGTAATAAAGTTGTTCATAATAAGTCTTGAGTTATGTGTGGTATGTTTGATATCATGTGAAATTCTTGACACTAGTTGGGCAGAGTTAGGCAACGTGAATAGGACAATGATTAGTAATGTTATTTGGAATTCTTTTGACCTTGTAAAACTGAAGATATTCCTGTAATAAGTTCATTGCCATCTGCGCAACACTTATGTGGTTTCTTCAATTAGTGGGATTTGGAAATTGATGAACATCTCTGGGAGAAGGTTATTGTTCTGAAAGAGGCAGTGGCTTTTCTTTGTAGAGGCCATCTCTCAATTCAATTGTACTGTATTAACTCTCAGTGTTTCCAACTTGCTCTTTGTGGTGAAGATTGTTGAGAAAATGATGGCAACAAAGACCCATAGAAGAAGTAAATTATTTGTAATTAATTATTTTAATTTGAGATTCAGGTCCTGATGTGGGATGAAAAAGACATTGATTACTCTAGGGAATTACCTTCATCAGGATTTGGATTTGGGGAATGTATCCCTCTTGGTCTTATTAGACCTTAAGTATTGTTCAAAATCTTCCAAAATAGTGTTTCTCTTACAAGGCTTAGATATACTTTCATCATTGATTTAGATCCTCAAAGAGTGGACAAGTTCTACTTAGTAGTAATAATAGTTGTAGTAGTAGTAACGATAATGAGATAAAAGCAATCAATTCAAAGGTTATTCTAGTACTCTGATTCACAAAGCAAACATTATCCAAAACATTATTTAACATCTGTACAAAACTAATGGAGGAGATCATCCTTTGATCGGGTGTGAAATATCACCAGTATGTTTACACCACTCATGTTTACATCACAACCCCAAATCAAGCTGGAGGTACTTTAATAGTCTTGAACTGGATCTTTGAGGGCCTTTAGAGAAGAAGTAATGTGAAGGTCTCCTTGTCCATAGTGCCATCTACTCTTTGAGCGGGAGCTGAGAATTCAAGAAGACTCCAAGATTGTATATCACTGTTGAGAGGAAAATGTGATCCCATCCACAAATAAAGATGGACAATTGCCAAGTCTAGGGGGCCCTAATAAACACGATCATTGGTCTTGGTAGAGTTGAGCTAGAGTTGGGTCCTTCGCATCCAGGTTCACATAGCATCCAGATATGCTGGCAGAACTGCAACATTTTGGTGTCTAAGCTTTGGGGAAGGCATTGTTTATTTTACTCTAATTGTATTAATTGAGATGTTTAGGATGTTGCTTTTATATTGAGTTATATTGTTACAGTATATAATATCCAGAATCTTTGAACTGGGTGGTACAATTTTTTTTAAAATAAATGACTGGTTAACTAAATAAATATTCTATGCAGCATTGCCAAAAATTTTATTAATTTCAAATTGTACACTCATGTTAAGAATTTGCTGCAAAGCTTTGCAAGTATTTTCCAATGTGAGGCTATGTAAATCAGGTGTCATTTACAAATACAATTTTTATTTCCCTGTTTTCCAGAAGCCTGCTCAAAATGCAAAGTGAGAACCTGGGACCAGTAAATTACTATGTTGGAATTGATGTTGGCACATCAAGTGTCCGTGCGGCTTTGGTGGACCAGTTTGGCACCGTAATGGCTTATGCAGACCATCCAATTCAAATTTGGGCACCACAACCTAACTATTATGAACAATCTTCTGATGACATTTGGGCAGCTTGTTGTATAGTCACAAAGGTAGGGACATAGTGTGAATGAATGACTATTGTATGCTACATGCTTTGAGGTATCCTATCTAATTATCTGAAAGAAGCTGGCTGTCTTTGAAAATGATTGTAATGTGACCTCTCTTCACTGTTAAGTTCACAAAATGTTGGCCTTTTTGTTTATGTTTATCTGTATGATAGCCAATGTTTTAAAGACTGGCAGAAGCTTCTGGCAAAATGTGCATTTTGTCAATTATAGCTGCATTCTTATTCTCTCTTTCGGTATCAAATGTCTTCTCCCTATGCTGCGAGCCGGGTTTTAATTCCCTTCCAATATATGTAACAAAGTTCTTTTAAAAACAGCATAGATGCTATTGGACTGGATATCCTTCATTTATTGGACAATTTATTCATTAATTAATTTGCAGAGTGGGGCACATGGAGAACTTTAATCTGTTCTAATTCATGGCAATTTTGAAATGTGTTGGGTTTCTATTGTAAAATTTATATCTTGAAGTTTATTTTTTTCATCCAATAAGTTAGAAAAAAATACCAAATTCTTATTTAAATTTTTAAAAGTGATTCTATATGTCTGAGCACATGATCAGATAAAAGCATGCATAAATTTTCCTCAAGATGATTAAGAGGCATTCGTATGTTAATATCTTGTAACTGTACATACATTGTAATGGAAAAGTAACCTGAAAATTAAATAATGAATGCGAAATAAAAGGTTATTATTCTGTTCTGGCTCCTTTGCTTTAATGTGGATACTGTGGGTTGAAGTAGTAATGGACATTGGGGACAGTGAGGTGTTTTAGACCTCTAAAAAAGATGTGGATTCAAACCAGCCGATATTCTGAGGTTGCTTTTTAAATATGCATGAGATACTTGGTAATTTGTGGATGGACAGTTCATTGTTCTCTTGTTATTGATCAGTCTTTTTAAACATTCATGAGCCATGCTATTGAGTGAGTGTCCTAAGAGGGTTGAGGCCAGAACAATTGTTATGTGAATAATAAAATAAGAGTAGAGTGCTTCTCTTCGTCATATATTCCCTCTCTTTTCATATTTAACTTAAAGATTAAATATATTACTATTACACTTTAGTAATCTGATTTACAAAGTGTATAAAAGTTAAGAGTGATTCTAACTGACATTGATGAAAAGAAAACTTTCACTGGCATTAACATTTGTTTTTTATTTGGGGGGGAAATGGCTTCTTGATCCGCAAAGTTGACACAGGGAGCAGTTGCCAATTGCCTTCCTCTGTTCTACTTCATTTCTTCGTGCCTAATATTATGACTTTCAGAGAACTGGAACCTTTTAAAAAATAGCTGGATACATTTTAAGTGCAGAAGGACACTTAAAGGATGACACTGATGGACCATCATACTTGGGAGATTAATTTTCTTGTAGAGTTGTTTCCTCATCTGGAGAACCTTAAAGGTCTGATATCAGTCATGCAAGTCTCATTGTGTTTTTCCATTCCTCCTTCTTATATCCTAATGATTCAGGGAAAAGCCATTGTGCCAATTTTGTTTCTGTAAGGGCTTCTAAATATTTCCCTCAAGACCAACTCTGCATCAGAAAAGTATCTGAGGCTTTGAACACCTATTGTCACTCAGATTAAATGAATGTTTCTTAAACTGGGTTCTAAGTTTGTTGTTTTTAGGTCAGTTCAATTCCTCCAGGTAAATGAATACTATATCCATGAAAGAATTTATATTAACAGATCTCTCCTCAGATCTCACAGTAAAACAACTGGGAAAAATAACACGAGAACGCATTTGGATGAGCGCTCATCCAAACAATGAGGTTTTTAGTAAGAAAACATTGTTGAAGTTTTTCCTTCTATTTATTTTTTCTGGAAGTGGATTTTTGACAATCACAATAACCAGCCTGTTACACTGGAAATTACACATACCATTTGTTTAATAGTTTCATTCCCATTATTGACCAATATACCAACATATGCAAGCTCCACTACAATATATAATCAGTTAAATATAAACGAAAATATATTTATTTTGTGGTCTTGGATTCTGGATTTCTGTGGATTTTAAGAAGAACGAATTAATCAACAATGGGTAGAGTAACCAACAGTCCAAACTGATATACTGTAGTTATCCTTATTAGTAATTTAGATAATCATATAGTGTCAGCATTTATACTCTACATACAGTGTGGTGTATGTTCAAATTCAAAGAAATTTAATTTGAACTTCAGCTTTATACACTGAAGCTTTTTTGTGGGCCTCATTGAATAGAAAAGTGAGCTATGTATTTATTTATTTTTCTTTCACAGAAAATTACCCAAGGAATAAATATTTCCCAAATTCGAGGACTTGGCTTTGATGCTACCTGCTCCCTTGTTGTTTTGGATAGCCATTTTCATCCTTTGGCAGTCAACTCTGAAGGTAAAACCTTCAAATAATAACTAAGATTTGCAATAGCAAAATGATAACTTAAAATAAAATCTAGGCAATAATATAGCCAGTATAAATTCAATTATAAAATATGCTGATAGTGAATTATCACTTTTCAGATAGATATGATTAAAGTATTTGTATTTAAATGTATAAGATTTTCATATTTTGGGGGGAAGGAGATTTGTTACCAAGCTTTATTTAAAGTAGAAAGTTAAGTGAATTAGAAGGTGAAAGTGTGATAACAGAGGGAATTTGGCTGAGCCAGATAGAGGTAAAGATTTCTTTATAGAATGAGGACTAAGTCACAGCAGTAGTGGTATTCAACCGGTTCGTACCATATCGGGTGAACCAGTAGCAAGAATTTGGCGTGGGTCACCGAACCTGTAGTAAGTTCTGGTTGGCCTCGCCCCCCACCCGGTTGCCCTCCTGCCCAATGCTCTCTTACCCCACCCGCGTGCCTGACATTCACCTAAGGTATTTCTTTTTTTCCCCCTCCCGACAATCAGCTGTAGATAAGGTCAGCTGTGCCAGGATTCCCCTTGCTGAGGTCCAGGAAGGCAAAAAATAGAGGGAGGAGCTCAGCCCCCCCTCCATTTTTTGCCTTCCAGAACCCCAGAGGCTTCTCTGAGGCTAGGAAGCTCCCAAAAAGGAGCTTGGAGGGTTGCTGCGCGCCCCTCCCATGCTCTGTTCCTTTTCTCCTGAGCCCCAGAGGAGCTTTAGGGGAGCAAAAATGCCCCCCACCAGAGGCTTCTCTGAGGTGAGGAAGCTTCCAAAATGGAGCTTAGAGGGGTGCTACGCGCCCCTCCCATGCTCTGTTCCTTTTCTTCCTGAGCTCCAGAGGAACTCCAGAGCCTTAGGAGAGCAAAAACACCCCCCGAGGTTCCTCTGAGGCTAAGAAGCTCCCCAAAACGGGTGGGGGCTGCAAAAAAAAGCCACGCCCACCCAGTCACATGGCCATACCCACCAAGCCTCGCCCACAGAACCAGTAGTAAAAGTTTTTGAATCCCACCACTAAGTCACAGGGCTGCAGTAAGTAGGCAAAGGAAACAGTCTTCTTTTTGATTTCATTCTACATGGGATCTGAGACATTTTTTGACTGGGTACCTCCATTCCTATCTCCTAAAAAAAAAAGATGTACAGATCCTGCCTTTCCAACTACATTCATGTGAAAAAGTAAACAAATCCATTGATTTTTGAAAACCTTTTCACTATATTTCAGCATGCAGATATTTGAGCCTTATTTCAACATTATTGTTAGATAAAGAGGATACAACATAACAACGTTATGCAATGTTCAGCATTTGCTTTTTGTAGCCCATTGTAAAATTTAAATACACATAAAAATGAAATGAATCGTCCATTCATTGGCATCTTAGAAATCTCTGAATTAGAGTGGACTGGACTTGGACCCATCAGTCTTTCAATTTACTCTTCAGTAAATTGAGTTAGATAAGAAAGAAAATGTTGCTTTCAAAACAAGGAAGGTTATAGCATAGCAAGAACAGTACTTGGGTATAATGCAATCAGTAATTGAATACAACCAATTAAACTTCATAGATAATCTTTTAACAATTATCCAAATGTATGTTCCAACTGTTGATGCAGAAGGAGAGAAAGCTGGTGAATTTTATTATCACTTTCCCTCTAGAATTGGCAGAACATGCAAGCAAAATACCCTAATTGTGACTTGAGAGTGGAATGTCAAAGTGTTAAGAAAGAAAATATAGTGGGTCTCTACTACCTAGGAAATCAAAATATTTTAATAATTTCTACCAAATGTCTTCTTGTTAACACAGACTTCCAATGACATTTATACATATGAACATCACCAGATGTATTACACAGAAATCAAATTGGTTATATTGTTGCTATAAGAAGATGGAAAAGCTCTTTTATAATAGCCAAAATGTGGTCAGAGACTGATTGTGAAACAAAATACGAATTGCTCATATGAAAATTTGAAGCCAAGCTAAAGAGGAGTAAGACAGCTGATTTGGTCTCCACAAAATGATATTGATCATATGCCTACCATTTTTGTTATTATTTTGTGATTCAGAGTCTGATTCTGACCTGGAAGCTTTGAATACTGTGTTTGTGTGTGTGTTATCAGCAACGTTGAAGCAGAACATTTTTAAGGAAAACAAAAAGAATCACTTTGAAGCCCTGAAATGCTACAAAGGTATAGGAACTGCGAAATGAACTTAAAGAAATTGTTAATGAGGAATGTGGGGAAAAATTGTCAGATTACAAAAGAAAAAAGAAAAAGAAAAAAAAAAAGAAATCAAGCTGGATGGAACAAACCATGTAAATTATCAGGAAAAGAAGAGAACCTGAATCCAAGAAATACAGAAATCTCAGGAAAGATCTTAACAAAGAATTTTAGAAAGCTGTTAGAAGAACAATGACCTCCGTAAAGATATCAAGATGGAGAAAGCTACATACACCCCCCCCCAAAAAAAAACAAGCAAACAAACAAACAAAACAAGAACCAAACCAAGGAATGAATGTCTTCCAAAATATTTTTGAAGTCAGATGGAGGTTCCAACTTTGAAGTGATATGCTAAAGGCTGCCAATGGAGAAATAGTAACTAATGACAAGAAGTACTGGAACATGGCTGTGTTGGTTTAGATGCCATTTTACATCTATTTTCTGATTAGTTATAGCTTTTATAATTATAACACAGTCAGAAGGAAGGCAGAATCTGTACATTTCTTTTGTATAATCAGAAAAAGGGGTGGATCACCTGTCAATAATGAATTTTCTTAATTGTAGTTGTGCCCAGTTACAGCAGTCCCTTCTGACTATTTAAACATGTTTAAACATATTGTAATTATAGGTATGGTGCCTGTTTCTAATGAAAAGGCATATCTTTGCTATGGATAGTGCCTGGATACAAGGATATGTGTACTAAATATTTTAATGGAAACAATGACTGATTTGGTTTTTGTTTTATAAGGAGAACATAAAAGAAACATCATCATGTGGATGGACCATCGTGCAGCTAATCAAGTAACGCGCATCAATGAGACACAGCATAATGTGCTATCCTTTGTTGGTGGTGCGATGTCAGTTGAAATGCAGCCACCTAAATTGCTATGGATGAAAGAAGTGAGTTCAAGAATTCAACAGGTTTTGCCATTTTTGTCAAGAAAGCTTGAATCTTCTAACCTGTACATCAACCATTCTCAATCTTCTCTGCTTCTTGCTAATGCTACAGCCAATATTTCCAACTGACTTAGCCAATCATTGTTTCTAACCTGGTCCTCTCCTTAACCTTCTGGGGAAAGCATGTTGGGAAAGGCCATTGCAAATGTTGAAGAGATAATAAAATATAGAAGAATATCTGTCCCTAACAAAAACATTAAAACAGGAAATTGCAATAATTTTCTTACAATTCCTGCTTTTTATGTCAGCTGTTTTTAAATATAGTTCTGGTTCTTAACATGCTTATTTTTAAAAATTGGATTAAAATATTTAATATTTTCTCAGTTAGAAGACTTGGCATGTTGTATATTCGTCTTTAGAAGACTGAGATCAAGCCTAAACTATTGGATAATGACAGAAAAATACATAGCCAAAATTAAAAGTGTTAATATTCATTAACTTCTATATATTTCATATCAAGAATGATAGGGCTAATGTCTCATCCACTTCAGTATTCTTACTGTAATTAGGATTTTTAATTGACTCTGTTGATTGTTTGGTCTTCTAAGAAGTAAATTGTTAGAAGCGGCATAAAGAAATGTACTTTTCTTCCTTTTCCCTATGATTCTGCTATCTTATTTGGATGTATAAGGATTTTGAACTAATCCTTTCCTGCCAGATGGCAAATACACAAAATTTGGTACATTTTAGTGCATATTATGGTGATGGGACCTAGCTGGCACATGCCCTGTATTATATTCAATAACAATATTAATGGATATCCGCAGATTCTTGCTGCTTGTATGAAAATGACAAAAAGATCATTGCACTATAATGCTGTAAGTTCTGTCTCTTTCGGATGCGAGTATGATGCCATAATGCATGTACAAAAAGGGCAGAGCTTACAGTGCAAGAATTCACAATACATTAATTAGACTGACCGATTTGACACAGCTACAGGCATTTGTAAGGGAACCAACACGGTAGCGGTGATTCAATCTAATTCCATCCATTTAAATTTGAAAACTATTAGGATGGAATGAGAATTGAGCAAGTTTCTTTATCAATTGTATGTAACAATATAAAGCAGGGAAGAAATAAATTGGCACGTTAAAAATATAGTGAAGTATGGGAAACATTGAATAGGAGGGTCATTTTTGGATACTATTGAAGCAGGTTTGTGTTTTATTGAAACATACTGAATTCTCTGCAGAAAATTAATTTGATTAATAAGTTCAGGACAGACAAAACAGATCTTCCAATAATTAAGGAGTTTGTTTCTAATAACTGATTACCCACAACATGCTAAGAGGCACTTCTGATCTCACTGTCAGTATCTTATTATAAGAGGCAAGGCAGAATGTTTCAGTTTTAAAGATATACATTTGTAATAAGAAATAATATTCAGCAATAAGAAGTCAATTTGCACATACAGTCATAGTCTAATGAAGGCCTGTCAAACTGGCGGGCCATGGGCTGGATATGGCCCAGGCAGGCCACGCCCATCCCAGCTCCGCAAAGGTAAAAGAAGTCCTGATATGTCACAATATGGCCCGTGATGCGATCAGATTTGACATCCCTGGTCTAATGTCTTTGTTAATTTCCTTTTTTTTGTGGTACAGGTTGATACAGAACTTTTTTTAACTTCCAACTATCAGATGAAAAGGAAAAACGTACCATTTGAATTTTTTAATAGGCCCCACTAGTCTGGCTTCCACATTTGGTCTCAGTGATGCTTTCTGTCTGTTAATAAAGGCCAATTTAAATTGCCTCCTGCCAGTTTCTAAGAGCTGAAGTCTCTTTTTCTGATTCTTAACATACAGTGGGATTAGTTGGAGCTGCTGAAGGTCAACAGAGTTAACTGGTAGAAGCTAAGAATGAAAAATTCATATTGATAGGGGTTAATTAGCATTGCTTGAAGATCCTGTTATGATATGTGAATGTTCATTTAAACTGATCCACACTCGGTGTTTGAATAATTCATACGAGGTTTAGAAAAAAGTTTTGGGTTTCTATACTTGCTGCTCAATGGTAACTAGAAACAGTAAAGAGATGAAGTTCACTGTTTAGGCTAGTAGCCTCAAGGAGAAAATTGTAGCCCCTTAGAAAATAAATGAGTGTGAAAATACAAGTCTGTGGCTTGCCAAGTTTAATGTTATGGATATAGAATAATATCCAGTATAGATTAATGGAAAGTCATATGTCATTCTCTTGCCTACCAATGAAAGAAATAATAGAATTTATTATTTCTTATGGAAAAAATATAATTCTTTCTAAATTGGTGGGAAGTGTAAATATTGTTTATATGGGCTTAATTGTGGCAATAAATTGAGGACTACCTGTATCTCTTGATCCTGACTTGCTGAGAAAAATTAGCTTATCCTTTTATTACCAGAAAAGATGTATTGTCACTTGGCACCATAGTGGAAGAAGAAAGGGAGTAGTGCCAACAATTGCTGAATCATAGCCTGGATTAGGCATGACTTAATTTTAAAAATGCTTACCATGCTTCAAATTTAGAACAAAAAAAAATTAGATGGCAGGGGTTTGGTTTCCATTATAGGTGTAAGAAAACCACAACTAAGGTTTTAGAGATAGCTTTCTTTAGTAATATAAGCTATAGGATCAGATTGTATTCCTACTGAGTATTAATAAATAAACTATCTGTTTCCCTGGGCTCCAAAATAAGCAGTACGGTTTACTTTCAGGGGGTGTCTTATTTGTTTTTTTCTATGTACAGGAGCCCACTTCTGCTTGCTTATGGTGGGGTAGGAGGCTGTGTGTCATGCCAGTGCTGCCGCCACGAGGCAGGGAGGGTGTAGCTGCCCCATGCGCATCAGAATGGCTTATCTCAGGACTCACAGCCAGGCCATCCATGCCTCAACACCTGCTTCGCCTCACAGCCACAGCACCAGTGTGCTGCTTGGCCTTTTGCTCTGTTGCAGCAACAGAAAAAAATGGGCTGACGGTCAAGTGGGCTCTTGCTCCTTATGGCTGTTGGTGCTGCTAACGCGAGGCAGTTGTCGGGGCGTGGATGGCCTGGCTGTGGAGACCCTGAGGTAAGCTGGTACGGGCGCATAGGACAGCTCTGCTGCTTTCCTGCTTTGCCTTGTGGTCTCATCCCACGGGAACGGGTGGCCAGTCAGCTTATTTTTGTGGTTAGGGATTATATTAAACGCACATGTAAAAATATGCTAGGGGTTATTTTCTGGATAGGTCTTATTTTCAGGGAAACAGTATTTCTTTGTACATAGTTTGTTACTTTTCTTTAATTGTGGAAAAATCAGCTTATAATTAATGCTTATTTTCATGGAACTTCGTAAGTCTTGGAAGCTAGCTCAATATCTATCTTTTATTTGTTTATTAAACAGATTTATATAACTGCCCTACTCTCACAGAATTTGGCATAGTTTGCTTGAAAGTAAAGTACTTGGTGTGCTCTTACATTCTTTTTAATACAAAGAATGTACATACCTTAAATAATCCTGCAGAAATAAGATAATATCAACAACTCCAAATCACTCGTTCATTCATACAACTCATTTGATAAATAGATTCTACTTCCTCACGCTAACAATTAAGCAAACTTGATTTCTCCAGTTTCTTGGACCATATAAAATTAAAGTCTGGAAGTTTTGATTGTCTGTTGTTCCTAACATTGTTCGCTTCTGCTCTGATATTTATGCAAAACCAGAATGGTTCAGTAGGCTTTCTGTGTTGTGTCCATTGAACTGACTGAAGTCCCCAACCAGGTCCGCAGTTCGGGCGGGAGCTCCGATCGCTCCCATTGGCTGATGCCGTTTGACAGCTTCTTTTTTAGCCAGCTGTCAAACGGCATCAGCCAATGGGAGTGATCGGTGCTCCCGCCCGAACTACGGACCTGGTTGGGGACTTCAGTCAGTTCAATGGACACAACATTCTGTTAGAAAAATTATTTGAAGACTATCCTGAGCATTGCCATTGGTAAATGTTTTGAATTTGTTTCGCTATGTATGCCATTGAATTCTTGAATTTGTGTTCTACTTATTGCTTGTTATTATGTTTAATCTTTGGCTGTTGAATTGCATTATACCCAAAAGAATTGGTTACATTTTCTTCCTATAATGGTGGTGCAATATAGCTTGTAACATGCTGGATAATTATTAGGCACCTTCAGTCGGGATTGAATATTTCTGATTGTTTAGATTGGAAAGATTGACTTACTAATTATACTAGATATGTTCCTAAATTGATTTTAAAAACTTCATTCGCACTTCATTTATTACATGAAAGGAAAGAGATCTTCCTACCCATGCTTTTTCCACAGGGTAAAAAGGTCAGAGTATAATAGCTTGACAATTAATAATCAAATGGCAATTACAAGCAATAATTCTTTTTCGTCTCACATTGCGGCTTTCTTCATCTTTGAAATGCCTGGTATATTTCTGCTATCTTCTTCCTTTTACACGTGGCTTTTTTATGTCTCCCTTTCCCTTCTTCATTAAGTAGACAGAAGCAGTTGCCTCTGGCAGCTTATCTTAAGTACTATAAAAGGGACTGTAAATTATTATTTAATTTATTATAAGTGTTATGTTATTTTTAATCACAGAAGGGAAGTACTTGTGAGGGTTGGGTTTTTTTGTTTTGCTTCAAATGCCAAAATAACTACTAGCTTTGGATTTGAGAGAAGAACATTATCTGCTGCTCTGTTTCAAGGAACTAAATGGTTTGGGCTGACCTTGAACTGTGATTTTTTCTTTCCTTGTGATGCATCAGAAATTATCACAATATTTGTGATATGTTCAATATTCATATCTGAATAGCCAGGGTATGGTAAACCAGTGTTTGAAGTATTCTTTCAGTATTCTTTCTCCCTATTTGTGCTCTGGGGGTAGGTTGATAATAGTTTAAAATTTCTATTTATATGTGCTAAATAAACAGGTTGATGTTATTTTTTTCCTCCCTCTTTCCAATCTGGCTTTATTTTGCAGACCTTGTGCCTGGCAGTTATTTTTAGAATAATGCTGTTTTGCCCACTTCTAATTACTCTCCTCAGCTCCCACTTTCACCCACATTCTCTGTTAAGAATGTGATTTGATTTGTGTTGAATCTTCTTCCTTCTGGAGAGAGTTATATAATCATCAAATCTTCCCTCAGCTATAATTCTACATGCCAACAGCTGCCAATTAAGGAATATTCACTTAGTTGTTCTGATCCTATCCCCATGTTGATGAATTGGGTTTTTTTTTTTTTTTGAGGGGGTGAGGAATCGAAAGAAGATTCCTTGAAAAGCAACCACTATAATCTGAACGAAGTCATACTGGGGCTATAGTTGCTTGAATTTGCTTCAAATTAAGCATGCTTTTGATGGGAGAGCCAGGCCTAGATTTCTTTCTCCAAATGTTTGGATTATTATGTGATATTGGGCAGATAGAAGGCTAAAGAGGGAGGAATGCCATACATGATTAATGCTTAGCTAAGGGAAATGACTTGTATGGTCACCACAGGTAGTCCTCTACTTAGAACTGTTCACTTAGTGACTGGTCAAAGTTACAACAGCACTGAAAAAAGTGACTTATGATAGCTTTTTACACTTACAACTTGCAGCATCCCAATGGTCATGTGATTAAAATTTGGATGATTGGCAACTGGCATGTATTTATGACAGTTTGTAGTAGTGTGCCAGGGTCATGGGATCACCTTTTGTGACCTTCTGACAAGTTAGTCAATGGGGAAGCCAGATTCACTTAACAAGCATATTACTAGCTTAACAATTGAGGTGATTCACTTAACAACTGTTGCAAAAAAGGTCATAAAATAGGGAACACACACTTAACTGTCTTACTTATCAGTGGAAATTTTGGGCTCGGTTGCGATCATAAGTTGAGGTCTATCTGTTTTACAGAGGTAATATGAATTCAAAGTTATTATGTCTTAATGGGCTCTAATGAGTGAGTATGTGCACGCACATGTACGTATCAGAGGTGGTATTCAGCAGGTTCTGACCAGTTCTGGAGAACCGGTAGCAGAAATTCTGAGTAGTCTGACTGCCCCTGCCCCCATATATTCTCTGCCTCCTGAGTCTCCAGAGTCCCAGCTCATCAACTGGGTCTTCTTTTGTTGCCCTGCACAGGAGAACGGAGCTGGAATGCAGGTTAGTGGGATGGGGAAACAATGGAGATTTTACAATATCCTTCCCCTGCCACATCCAAGCCATGCCCACCAAGCCACACCATACCCACCAAGCCACACCCACAGAACCGGTACTAAAATTTTTTGAATCCCACCACTGGTACGTATATTTCCTGCTTTGTATAGAATCATTTGATCCAGAATGGGCTGGCCAACAGGACAAGTTTCCAGTAGTTTCCAGCCTGGGATCTTAGTAGAACAGGGATCTCAAGATAGGTTTCCCTTTTTATATATTGTTAGAAGAAGGTTTTAAATAAGATTTAACTAATTACATAAATAAAAAGTTAGAAAAAAAGAGATATAGAAAATAAAAGAAAAAGTGAAAAATAACAAAAGGAAAAGAAAAATATCTAAAGAAGCAACTACCCATCTTTGTAGTGCTTATAAACATGATAGTTACCATCTCCACCCTCCTAAATTACATATCATGCTTCTTCCCACAAGCAACCCTTTTTAATTAGTAAATCCTAACATCACCAATTCATTTTTGTCCATTTTCAGCAAAAAGTCCATAAACTTCCTGTCTTTGTTCCCTACTTGGTCAAACAAGTCAATTTAATCATTCCTGCAAGCTCTGCCGTCTTTCTCCATTAGTATATCTTCCATCTTTGTGTATATATTAGATTCGCTGTAGTTCTTAAGATTTTTCAATTGCAGTCCTCTCATTTGCAATAGCTTACTTCCCTTGGAGAGTCAGAAAGGCAGCTAAAACAATTCTTTATTACAAAACATAAAAGTGTTAAGTAATTTGGAATGTATCTCTCTCCACTGAAATCTAATTTTTAATGTTGATTTTGTTACTGGTTGATGCTGACTTAGGTTTTCATGATAGTAGTCACCATCATTAAAAAAGATCAGCAAAAGTTATATTTTTAACATAGATAATAAAATGCTGTCTAGCTGCAGAGTATTAAGTCTGTCTCAGTGTCTGCTGTTAAAGATGTGGGTCATTGTATTTTGTGGTCTCAGCTGTATTTCTTGGAAAATCTGTAAGTGATTTGGCTTGTCACTTTCTAGTAAGAAGTTGGTCAAAGTATTGTTATCTGCTGAGTAGATAGAACATAAGAGTAAGTTATTACGATCACATTTGGAGCTGATTAACTACTTGGAATTGACTAGTGTTTTCAAAATAGCCTTTAAAAAAAAGTCTAAATGATGATTTCCATAAAGAAAGAGATATTTGGGAAAAGGAGTCCAACTGTACTTTCCAGTGAATAACAAATAAATCTGGAGCTACAGAAAATGACTTGCTATACTGAAAACTGCATTAGGGTAGTTTCAGTACACTTGTTAATTGTGTGGACTGGAGTACTGCAAATAATAGAATGACTTGTGTGGTCAGATTGGTATATATGTAAAACTTAATGTTAGTGTGGAAACATGTAGCAAAACCTGATGTGTTTTTCTGATCTAACCGGTGGTGACAAATCATTTTGGTGACTAAAATGAATCATTTGGATGTGTTTCAAGGGGCTCATTTTCGAATCTTTTTATTGTAGCTTTTGGAAAGCTGCAATAGTGTTCACTTATTTTTCCTTTTATGTCAGACATTTGACCCCATTGATACTAAACCACTCTCTCTGGTCATCTTAGTCCTGGCTTCCATGAAAGGGAACAAGAACAAACTTTTTACAGGATTTTCAATACTCTTGCCTGGAAATTCTTATTTCATTTCTATCCAGAATATGCCTGCTTTTGTTCCTTTTCCTATTGATTTGTTTAACTATTGGATCTAAAGAATTATACAGTTAAATAATGGTATCTACATTTATTTATCTATATTCCACCTTTATTATTTTTATAAACAACTCAAGGTGCTGAATATATCTAATGCTACCTTCTCCTCCTGTTTTCCTCATAACAACAACAGCCTATGAGGTGGGTTGGGCTGAGAGAAAATGAGTGGCCCATAGTCAGTCAGCTGGTTTTCATGGCTAAAGTGGGATTAGAATTCATGGTCTTGTGGTTTCTAGCCTGGTGTCTTAATCACTAAACTAAACTGGCTCTAAATATGCATGTAATTACAGTGGTGCTGCCATGATGCTACATGAAATAAAGTATTATTTAAAGCACAAGATATGGAAAATATCATAGGGCAAATATTATGTGTGAGACTAAATATAGAGAACTGAAGCATTGAGTTCTCTCTGTGACAATATTCTTATAGAAGGAGTGGCAGAACCCGGGGGCGGCAGAGTCAAAAGAGGAATGAGCCTAGAGTATCTATGTAGCCACAAGTGGACCAAATCCAATCCCTCTTAAATTCTGTTGAAAAGTTTTCTTGAGTTCAGTAGAGTAATGTCAGGAGCAACAGAATAATAGAGTAATTGTGATGCTCCAATTAAACTGATTTATTACTAATCACATCTATGCATACGAATCTGCTCAACTAACTGTTAGCTCTATCTTGGCATTAGAAAAGGGTCAGTTGAATTCAAGAGGGGTTAGACTTGGTCCACCTGTGGCTACATAGAGGCTCATTCCTCTTTTGACTCAGCCCCTGGTTCTGCTACTCATTCTCCTGCACAAATGCAGGAAATTTGCAACATTGGGACGTCCAGAAGTTTTTGGTGGTGTTAAAATGTCCTGAAGTTATTTTATCCTAAAGATAATATAAGTGTCTTAGTATTACCAAAGATATTCACTCCTATCCTAGGTTACTCAGTTTTGCTTCTTAGATGCCCTTTAGAGATACCTCTGGGAGATGCCAGAGAGATAAATCTACACTCATTATTAAGTTGGTATTATTTTCTTGCTTATTATTTAGAGAGTTATGGCATGAAATATATTCTGATATTCAGTTCCTTTGGGAACAGGATGTAAGGTTCTCAAGAATACATAGAAAGGACACACAAATATATCCATGGGTATAAACGTAGAGGTAATACAAGCTGCAGAGGTTCAGTAATGAATGTTCAGAGGTTGCAAATGTAGTATATAAAACATCCTTGAGTAGACTATGGCTTTGCTTGTTAATACCTTTTGCTGTAGGACAAAACATGAATAAAGCTCAAATAACTCTACATAGAATTTTATCATTCTGTACGGAATGATGAAACTTAAATTTGGATGAAGAGAATACCGGTGTTGCCTTAGCTATGGCATATGATTTAAATTTGTTTTTAAATTATATGAGCTAAAACTATTCTTTTTATCTCCAACAAAATTTATCAGAATTTGCAAGAGTCTTGCTGGGAAAAAGCAGGGCACTTCTTTGATCTTCCGGATTTCTTATCATGGAAAGCAACAGGTGCCACAGCAAGGTATGCAAAATATTATGGCATGTTTTGTTTTTCCTCATCTCTTTTCTTGAGCCAACTTTTTCTTGTTATTTATTTTGACTGTATGCAATGTATATACACCTGCATACGATTTAAATTACATCTTGAACCTATCTTTCTGTTGTGCATTCCTGAACAAGATAGTTCCTGTGAGCATTTTCAGTTCTTAATTAATTGTTGTTGCTATTGGTTCCCTGATTCCACATTCACATATCTGGAATTTGACCAATTCAGTACCAGTTTCTTGGAAACAACAGCTGGGACATTATATCTCACAGGAGATAAAACATCTCTTTCCAATTTAAGTAAAAAGAAATCAAGATTTTACACCCCCTCTTGGAACTAGAGGGAGAACAGCCAAGGGTTGGAGAAAGCCAAATGAATGTTTTTTCTTTTTCTTTTGAGAGCTTACAAGCTCTTAATTGTCGAAACAAAACATATGCATTTTTAACAGCAAGATTGTAGCTTTTATAGCTTAAGATATATGTATATATATTGACTTGTAAAAGTTGATATTTTGCTCTGTATCTTTTATATTACGCAAATAAGAGAAACAAAATCTGGAATGAAGGTAACTTCAGTAAATTTGCTGTTGCCATAATAGGCAGTCATGGTAAACCTGGGCAGTAATATTGCCAACTTGTATTAAAATCAAGTCATAAACCTAGTATCAATAAATTGGGAATGTAATCTAAAGGCTAACCTGAGCAGCAGATATTGAAAATTCTTGCCTTAATTTTGATGCAGTAAAAGATTTAATAGTAGCCATAAGTTTGAGTTTCACAACTGTCATGAGACCACTTTTCCAGGACTGAAGCAAGCAAGGCCTTGCATGCAATCCAATTTTCAAATGTTCCCCCTTATGAAGAATTTTTGCCCACCCTCATGGAAGATCCAGGCCTGGACATTGTTATATTCTGTGATTCAACCCTATTCTGTCTCCAGCTGGATTCTTCCTAGGAGTTTGGTGGAAAGAACAGATTTCTGATCATCTGTATTTTTTATACTGTTTATGCAACTTATAGGTGTGTTGGGGGAAGAGGGGTAAAATAAAGCAGGAACTGTAAAAGGAGATGGTGTGATAATTAACTTTTATGTAAACTTTTATTTTTGAAAGAGGAAGACTTAGGCTGCATTATACAGCAGAGTGGGCTAAGCAACTGCATTCTGTTTCCCAGGGAGAGTATCACTGTGTGGTCCTGCCCGCCTGCCCGATTAATCTTTTTAATTGGCTGAGAAATGAGTAGTCAGAGTCAATGGTAAGAATTTACACGCAGTTTATGCTCTCCCCCGCTTGTGATACTTCTATGTTCTGTAGTGGAGACAAAGGTGTTTAAAATGAAATGATAGCTTCCTTTAAGACACTGTTCATTTCTGGTTGCCAAAAAATATGTTTATTTTATTTTTTTTAATTTATGTAGTTGCCCAACTCACGCATGGTGACTTCAGGCAGCTTACAGCATTAAAAATCCACAACCCAAAGCCTGTCAAACCCCACCCCACCCCAAATCACCACTATCGTGACTGGCAATTTCACTCCAGTATTAACTGGCAATTTCACACCAGTATTAATCTGGAATAAGCAGGATGGATCCAATTTCTTTTATGGTTTGTAATTTAGTATCATCAGATGGAATTGCCTGCATTTCATACAATGATTTTCTGGTATTGGTTCATCTCAGCATTGTAACACCTTGATGGACTCTGAAGACAGGCTGTATTGAGGAGGGAGAATTCCACTCATTTGTTTCCATTTCTCATTTGCACTGAGTAGACCCTGTTCATTACTCAAATTTTGTAGCAGTAAAGATCTTGTCCTGTTTTTTGTCTTCTAATTCTTCTGGTCTCAAGGTTTTTTAAAAAAATTATTATTATTATTTTGGTTTTCTTCAATCTTCAAGTTCTAGCCAAGGCTGTCCATGATGATGTCAATAATAAGTATCTCCTAAAGCCATTTGCTTCTTTCATCTATCTTGAAGACTTTTTCTTTTCCATTTGTCCAAATGGCTAAGTCTTCTCTCAGTTGACAGTGGCACAATTCTTCACCTGGAGCTGGCAATCTTCAGATAGATAGCTTGGAGAAGATGTTTTTAGGACCCTTCTTTGAACACAGTGGCTCAAATTTCTATGTGTGGCATGCAAACCTGCTCAGCAAACAGCTGTTCTATAAATTGGTTGAGATTTCACGAATGAAGGCGAAAATATGTATCCCAAGATAATGTTGCAGGAACCAATCTGGGTTGGTCACCGGGACCAGAGGTTTTGTCTTCCAAGCTTTCGGACTCGTGCTGGAGCCCATTTTCAAGGAACATCTCTCTAGCAGATTGGTTCCTGGTTGAGATTGATCTCTCTTGTTGCTTTCATTGAATTTTTTCCCCTGTTATATTTGGAATGTTTGTCTTTATAGTCAAAGGAATTTGCCTCCCCCCCTCCAAATAGCAACAAATCTGGGCAATTTTTTTTCTTCCTCATTGATAACATAGTTTAGGGAAAGACTTTTGAATATTTTCCTTTCAAGAATATCACATTTGTATTGAATTTGCTTCTAGTTTTCTCTGAGATGATGGGCAAACTTTTTGAAACTACCTCACTTCATTCTTTTATTTGTTAACATTCTTAACTGTCATACTGTCAGCATGATATCTCGGTGAAATTTGCACTCTGAGCTTGAATGAACTATACCTGTCATTTCATAGGGATAAGATGATCTTGTGACCAGCTCTAACCTTTGTTCCCAAAGTTGCCACTGAAACTTATCTGCCTCAGCAGCAAGCGTTGCCTGCAAATTTTCTAGATCTCACAATGTCATTGGAGCATTCTTTTGATCTATGTGATAAGCAGCGACTATTGAATTCCCCTTTGACTAAACTGCTCAAGTTTTATGAAGATGCTCATTAGCTCCCGTTCTGTGATTCTTGGTCAGTGTAGACAGACATAATAAAGCTTTTTAATCATATACAGAGTTGGTTTACCATCCCAAACTCAACAGTTTTTCACAAAGTGGTAAGACTCTGAAGTATATCATAAAGGAAATGTCATTTTGAATTAAACAGAAGTTTTAAGATTTACATACAAACTGTAAAACAGGTACTCATTTTTTTCTATATAACTTAAATGCCACATTTTGTTTTACTGCCACTTGCCAAAGAATCACACCAGGGTTTCCCAACCTTGGCTGCTTTAAGACACATGGGCTTTAACTTCCAGAATTCTGCAGGCAGGCTGGGGAATTCTGGGAGTTGAAGTCCACTTGTGTTAAAGTGACCAAGGTTGGGAAACCCTGCATGAAGCTATAAATCCAGTGGTGGGATTCAATTTTTTTTTTTTTTACTACCGGTTCTGTGGGCATGGCTTGGTGGGCATGGCAGGGGAAGGATGCTGTAAAATCTCCAGTCAGAGGTGGGATTTGCCGGTTCACGGAACTACTCAAAATTTCCACTATCGGTTCTCCAGAACTGGTCAGAACCTGCTGAATACCACCACTGTATAAATCCTCATTGCATTGCAGTATCTTGCAGCATATATAAAGCAGGAAGATTTTGAGATACTTTCTACATTATTTTCTGATTTGTTCTGGTTCTATTTTTTCCCCTTTGCAGTGTTTAATTCCTGTATAATCAGCTGAAGTAGCACCTCAGTATTCTATCTCAGTTGAAGCATCTGGACTGGGTATCCCTTAAGATCTAATATCTGCAATCTGAAACACTTTATAAATTTGCTTATAAGTGAGCATCAGTTCTTGATTAATAAACATACTTTCTTTTCACTTTAGAAAACCATATGAACTAGTTCAGCACTGAAAACAGGAGATGATGGAGGTGGAGGCAGAAATTGTAGTGGGTATATGGTTGGCTGGCTGGCTGCCACAGTGACAAAGAACTCTGAGCCAACCATGAAGTCATGCTGAATTTAAGGAGTTTCACTGATCCAAAGCACGGTGTCTTTAATTTTACAAAGTAAAGTTGTCTTACGCTAGACTATTAAACAAAGACCCTTCAATGACATGAGGAAGGAATAGTGCTTGTAAATTTTAGTTCGAAAACATGAAATATAGTGATATGAGAGAATTCACTTTTTCTCACTTTCTGTGACTAACTTCCTCAGCCTTGAGCATAGCATTGGCACTCTGCATTTCCTGCTGTTCTAGGGATATGTGAAGGCTTGGTACGAAATTTGAGAAATGTATGTACTTTTCTATTTCAGGAAAATGAAGTCAGGAATTGAATGTGTGTGTTGTTGGCTGTGAGGCTGTGATTTTACCCTGTGTGGCTTGGCTTCTCACTATTTTTATTAGTGAGTAAAAAATGCCAAGACCTCATTCAATAGAATAATCAACATTCTCTTCTCCATTTCCTAAAGAAACTCATGTATTAATCTTTTTAAAACTGAGAGATAGGTTCTGCTGAAAAGTAGGACAGAAGAATAAAAACAATGGAGAATAAATAGAATATTGAACTTTTGTTTATTACTGTCACTCACTCCCATTCTGTCACTTGAGCCCCTAGCCACACCTACCCAGCTGGTCATTAGGGCAGAGAATTGGAGCCACAAAACCCTTTTGACATCTCTCTCTCCCACTTCCTCTCTATTTCCCCCTCCCCCATATCCCTCCCTATCTCTATCTCTCTCTCTCCTTCCCTCATTCTCTCTCTCTGTATCTCTCTTTCTCTCCCCACTCTCCCTCCCCTCTCTTTCTCTCTCCCCCCTCTCTCCCCCTCTTTTTCTGTATATATTTCTCTGTGTCTCTCCCCCCACATTCTGATATGAAGAGTCGGGCAGGCCATGAGGCACTCTTGCAGTGCCTTGAGCAGCACAGTGAACTTTACTGTGCTTCACAATGGGGAAAATGGGGTCTCTTCCTCCTCCTGCAGCAGAACCACAATGCGACCCTGGCCCACTCACCCCTAGCAATATAGCTCCGAGCCTGAAGCGGTGGGAGGTGAGGGCTGCCTTGAACACAAATGTGGCTCAAAGTCAAGTAC